ACTCCTGCTAATGTGGCCTTCAAGGAAATAGGAGATTCTTAGAGAGGGCTGTGGACATGTAAGTGTAGCTTCTCCCCACCACGCCCACTTTAATGAGGTCAGAGGTAGTACCTTTCCCCTCATCTCAATTTTTAAAAGGTTGATTTTTAGGAGAAAAATGATATGTCCTAGCTGCCTGACCGACACAGAGGTCCAGAGTGTAACTCCCACCTGAAGGCAGGTGGCTAGCTGCTTCAAAAGCAGAGTGAAAGAAAGACAAAAGGCTCCCCCAGCTTGTGAGGCAAAAATGATGTGTTTTTCACAGACCAGGTGTGGGCCTCCCATGAGAGCTGACTGACGTTGGCTTGTCTTAGGTTGTTTCCAAGAAGACCACCTAAAGGGCAAACAGAGAGAAGCTGAACGGATGGCTGGATTGTCACGGCCTGAGGAGGAAGAGCCATCTGGAATAGAGAAGTTCTGTCAAGGGGGTGCAGGTGAGTGACCACCAGCCACAGGGCGGGGGCACCTCCACGGAGAAAGCAGCTGCCCCACAGGCAATCTGAAATGTCTGCCAAGCCAAGAGGGCCCCGGAGCAGAGTGGCACAGCAGTGGCTCTCAGAGGGAGCTCCTGCCTCTCTCTCTCTCTCTCTCTCTCTCTCTCTCTCTGGATTCTAACCACAAAGCACAGCTAGTGGGATGGGAGAAGAGAAGAAAAAGTCAATGGGAAAAAAAAGAAAATGACCACAGCCCTTCCTGCATGCAGCATGCTCAACCTGCAGGAGGGGGGAAACCTGACCTTAAATCAAATTCACAGGACTTGACATTTTAATCACCAGATTGAGGTGATTTTTATTACCCCAAAGTAACCAGAAAACTCATGCAATTGCCTGATTTTTCAGCTAGTGGCAGGGGAAAATTAATCCCATGGTCTGGATTAAAGGGACAGTGAGAGACAAAAACAGTTACTTTATAATTGTATAGTTACATGTTCTTGGTCAACATTAGGAGTTAACATGGATCAGTCTCACCACTAAGAGCTATAGGTATCATTCAGAACTTTTTATGGGCTTAGGTAAATGAAGGAAATTTACTGGCTCATGTAACTGAGAAGTCCAAAGATAAAGCTGGTTCCAGGACCTCAAATGGAGCCATCATCTCTCTCTTGCTCATCTAGTTCTGTTAACGCATTGAGCTCATTTTCTTCCAATGCAAATTGGTTTTATTTGTGCAGAAAGTGCAGCCACAGGCAGGCAGCTATAGACTTGCATAATCCCAGCTTAGTTCCAGAAGAAAGAGGGAACTTCTTGCCTTCAGCATCTATAAACAAAATCCCAGAGGACTACCTGATTGGCTTGTCTTGAGCCACGTGCCCACCTGATCCATGTCTGGGGCGGCAGGGTGCTTGATCTTGCAATGTTGCATGGAAGAGGTGTCTTACTCCAAAGGAAGTGGGCTGGGACTACTTGAAGAATGGGACAGGTGTGCTGGGCAGACCAAAACAACAAACACCAGTTTTCCACATTGTATAGCACAGGAAAATGCAGCTCAAAGATATCAGCTGCATACTCTTCCTATGCAGTAGAAAATAATGATTATTATAACAATTAATATCTTACCACTGGGGATTTTGCGTATGCTCTTCTCTATCAAAATTCTGCTCATCTTTCAAGCTCAGCTCAAATATCACCTCCTCCATGAAGCTTCTTATGATTTCCAGAAATGAATATGAATTGATCCTTTTACTGCAGTCTTACTGTATTTGTACAGTTCTCAGCCTTGGTTCTGCAGCAGAATCAGTGAGCAGCTGGTTGAAATGCCACCACTCTATCAAATCTTCCCTGACCTCAAAAGCACAGATACTCTTCTCTCTACTCCTATAATAACTAAAGCCTTCTAAAACCATTACTTTCTTGTCGACTACTTTTGCACACGCACCCAGATTATTGCTTTTATGAAAGCGAATGGCTTTGCATTCGATATATTAGGAAATTCTGTTTTATTGAGTCAGGCAGCAATTCCTTTTACACTTTGTGCTAGTTTTAAAATATGTTCACAAATTTTTGAAACTCCTCTCTTCAAGAGGTGGAGTCTCATTCCCCTCCCTTTGAGCGTGGGTGGGAACCAGCTACCTGCTTCTAATGAACTGAGAAAAAAGGTTCTGTGATAGCATGCACGGTAATAAATGGTGCTGCAACTTCTCTTGCTCTCTCCTGAATTGCTCGCTCTGGGTAAAGTGACTCACACCTACCAGATTGTGGGAACACTCAGACAGCCTATGGAGAGCCCACATGGGAAAGAACTGAGGCCTCCTGCCAACGTCATGTGAGTGAGTTTCTCCAAAGCAGATTGTCCAGCCCCAGCCAAGCCTCCAGATGATGGCAACCCTGCTGATAGCCTGACTGCAACTGCAGGAGGCTCCCTTAGCCAGAACCTCCCAGCTAAGCTGTTCCTTAATTCTTGACCCATAGAAACTGAAATAACAAATGTTTGTTGTTTTAAGCCACTGAATTTTGGGATAATTTGTTACACAGCAATAGGTAACAAATGCATACTTCTACACATAGATGTGGCAAGCATTCTTAACACCAGGTGTCTTGGCATGGGTTCCTCAGGAAACAGAGCCTGAGGAAAAGGCTAATGTGCTAATACTAAACTATGGAGTTTATTGCAGGGAAGCAGGAGCCAGAGCAAAGCTTAGAGTGCTTTACTAGCAGGGCCCTGCTTGGGATCACTTGCCACTGATTGTTCCATCTCGCAGGACCGATTCTGAAAGGCTGTGAGTTCACTTGCATCTCAGGTTAGTTTGTACAGAGGGTAGAAGTGAAGAGAATTTATCTATCTGCTCTTATCTCCCTGTAGTCAAGCTTTCTTCACAGGACATTAACACTCTATGTTTCCTGGTGTGTTTGCACAGTCTTCAAGCAGGTCCCTGGTGTCACATGCCTTGGGATGAACAAGGAAACACCACTTTCCTAGGCATGGGGTGGGGCACTGCCAGGTTGTGACACCTGAGATCAGCTGTAGCTCACATAAAATTGGTCACCAATTAGCAGCTCAAGCATAACAAATGGGCAAAGGTCCTGGACAGATGGGGCTAAGAGGCTCTGGTGGCACAGAAGAGGTAGCTGATAGGATGTGGGCGGCACAGCGTGTTATCTGTAAGTTTCCTCAAAACTCAGATTTGGAATGCGGTAAGATCTTCAGTAAAAATGGACCAAAATACGGTCTGGGATCAGCCAAACTCCAATCAAAGGGACCTGGACACAACCTCAGAGATTGCAACCAGGAAACTCAGATGCCTAGGTCACTGAACGAAATCGTTTAATTAAGTCCAAAGATGCAGGTGTTGCTAGAAACGGAGAGTCTCAGCAGCATTAAGAGATGGAAGCTCAGCAAGAGAAGAGTGGGCAGCGGCTCCCACCATGTCCAGGGCAGAGGGTACCCCAACTTGTGTACCTGAATATACGACCAGTAAGGCAGGCAAATCCCAAAATGAGGATGAAGATAAGTTGGTGACAGCAGCTCATATAGATGAGTCCCTTTGTTCTAGTCCTGAGCTTACCAAGTAAGTGCCTCTGTATCATTCATCTTTCCAAGTAAACATCCCAAAAGGGTGAGAATGTTCTGATACGCAAGCAAGAGGATCAGATTCACTTGTTAGTTCTGGTTGGTATGAACCATTCAGCCTGCTCAAGGTATAGGTATGATCACCATTCTTATTTATCCAATTAATTGCTCATGTTCTCCCCTGCAGGGATGTACCAGGGCAACCAGCCAGCCTTCTGCAATGAGATCCAGTGCCCCTCTTCCCAAACCACGGCACAGGATTTAAAACAACCACACACGAACAAGAAGTTTAGTCTACACAGTACAGGTGGACACGCACACACTGTAGGCAGCATATAGACCCTGGGGTCCGGCAGGCTGGGTCGGCAATGTTCAGGGCACTTGAGGAGGAAGGGCACCTTCCTGGGCTTCTGCCTGGAGGGACGCTGGCACCCAGCTCTCCAGCCTGCCAGGAACTCAGCCAACCACTCCAGGGTGGGTCCTTCTCAAGAACAACACTTGGCTCCTCCTCTTCCTTTAGGTACTCTGTCCACTTGTTTCACTGAGGTCAGCTAACATAGAGCCCACCCTACATCTTAGAGGAGGCAAATCTACATGTGCTCCCCTGGAATGTCCCCTCTTTCTCTCTTCTCCCACCTCTCCTAGAGCCAGGGTCCCTAGAGCCAGGGACCAAGGAGAAAAGCTCCCTCTGCTGTTTGATGTTGCCGCCAGCCTCGCACAGCTGAAGCTTCTATTCAGAGGTGGGCTTAGTACTTTCCCTGGCACAGACTAAAGTGTATAGCCATTCAGGGTTATATTGCACTTCATTTCTTCCCTCATTCATTCATCCATCAAATGCTGTGGCGTTCCTACTTAGAAGCAGAGCGGTCATGGTAGAAATAAGACTACAGATTCAGAAATTGCTGAAACGTGGTTTTTTCAAAAATTTCAACTGCATGCCTAAAGAAATGAGAGACATATCAGCCTGAAGCTGGGTGGCTGCTTCCCCTCAGTTCAGTTCTGAACGTACCAGTTTTCTGGGTTCTCTACCAAATCCACTCACTGTCTCCTTCCCAGAAATTGTTTTCAGATCCACAGGGTTGAAGCCCTTATATTCACAAATAAACAAACTTAGACATTGCATTTGGAAAGTGACTCAAGGGTATATTTTGAAAACCAGGGAAATAACAGCAAATAAAGATAAAACATATACCTGAAAAGAGATTCAGATACACATTTAGAAAGAAAAGGAGCCATAGCACTCCTTCAGAAGAAGGATAAGGTAGGGCACTGAGGCAGTGAAATACTACAGATATCTGTATTCATTGAGTTTTTAACTTTTAGAACACATGACATTGAGTTCCTGCAGATTCTGCAGTGTCAGGTTCCTCATCCCAGCAGGGCAGCTGCCCTGGGAGAGGCAGGAGCTCTGGACTTGGGGTCAAGCCCCAGATGACTGCAGAGGTGATGCTGGGCCAACAGGGGAAACCCTACCACTGAGGGGCTCACAGCCCGGAGGGGAAATGCTGCGAAACAGAAGCACAAAAATCTCCCGAAGATTCAACCCTGGTTGTGCATCAGAATCACTGCAGGCGTTTTGTTGTTGTTGTTGTTTGTTTTTTAAACATTCATGCCTAAGCCCCAACCCTGTCTCCTGAATCTGAATCTCAAGCTCAGACATCACCTCTACTGTCCAGATTTTCTGACACCTCCAGACAACACAGTTCCTTTGCCTATGACCCTGTACACCTGGGCTTTTATCACCTTCCTCCTTGCTTATGTGTTCGCCTGCCCTCTAGCTCTCACTGGACTCTGAGCAACGTGAGCCAGGGAAATAGCTATCATTTAATTACAAAGCCTTTTTCCCCAGAAGGTGGTTGGATATTCAAAATTTAAGTTAAGAGTGTTTATATTAATGCTTGGAATCATATGTAACATTTCCTTTTTAATTGTGATCTGGGCATCCCACTTATCATTTTTGGAATTTAGAAGCAAATTTCCGGAGATGGCTATTATAGGCCCTGACATATACTCACCAGTCCAGGTAGTGACCATGGTCTAAATCTCGTTCAGCCACAGGACTGCAGGTGAGCCCTGAGCAGGGAATGGCTGTCAGGCAGCCCCACATGGAAAGCTGTTCTCACTTCCTCTCTCAGCCAGTGACTCACCTGCAGCTGCTGCATGACAGGGGCTCCAGGAAGTAGACAGGACACTGTGAACATCACCCAATTGCCAATTTTCACATTTTTGAAAGACCTAGAAATGGGAAAACAGACTACAGTAAGCCCTAAAACCACATCACATCTCTCCACGCCACAGAGTTTATTTTCTATTGCTAATGTCATCAGCTGTGTCATCTGGTAGTGACATATACTATTTTTCCTCAAAGCCCCTCTGGTAGCAAATGTCCCATGGGGTCACCTCAGTCAGCTTAGTCAGAGTCACAGAATTCTAGAAATGCAAAGCAGACAGAACTCTTCCTACTAAGAGCAGAACTGTTCACATCTCTTGAAAACCTGCTATGGACCAGCCACTTCATAGATCTTTTTTAACTTAACCCTCACACCAACTCTGATGTGTAAGTTTCATTGGTCTCATATTTTAGATGAAAAAGCTGAGGTTTGGAAAGTGATGTGATCTCTCAATGTTACATATCTAGTACCCCAGATCTGTATAATCTAAAAGCCCCTGTTTCTGAAAGTGGGAATTATATACAAGGCAGCATGCTGGAGTCACATGAAGTCTCATGGTTAAACAGCACATCCTCTAAAGTGTTGCTTTTATTCAATGGTAAATAATTTAAAACACTGTTGTTGTTGTTTTTTTAATTAAAGTATACATGAATGCATTGTGGGGGAATACAAACTTGCACAAAATTTAAAGGTAAAATGTAAAATTTTGAGGAACTCATACTAATGGAAGCTACTTCTTCTGGTTTTGCTCCCAGACCCCAAGGGTTCCCTCCGGAGTCCTCTGCCATGAGGAAGATCCTGGCAGAAAGATTTAAAGGCATGGCCATAGACCCTCAGTTTCAGCCCAAACAGGACTCAGGAGTGGCACCCCCAAGTGGAGGAAGGGAGAAGGAGCTGTCATCAAAGAGACAAGAGTGGTGATTGCATGTTGCTGCGAGGCTTTGTTTGAATGCCCATCACTGGAGGAATATAAATTACATAAGTCCCTGGGCTGCCAAGCCCTTCTCACCTAACTGGTAAGGTTTCCAAAGTTTTCCAGTGTGGAGAGCAGAATCTATCACCAAGTAAATGAGCCAGAGGCAGGTCCAGCCCCACTTAATCCTGGACCTATGCCACTCCTTATCACTAGCCCTCCCACTGTCAGACTTTACTTCCCCTAAGTCCTTGCTATCTTTTTCATTAAAATACCCTGAATCATCTCTGAGGTGGCTACAATCACCAGGGACCTGATCCTGAGCTAGTTAGGCTCGTCTATACTCTGCCCGAGGCTTGGAGTGCCTCCAGAGAAGTCAGTCACTGAATTCCAAAGAGGATGAGAGGAAGGACTCCAGTCACGCCCATGGCCAAGCTGAGCTGGGCATGTCATGGCCTCACATCCTGATATCTTTGAAGTTAATAGGGATAGCCAAGAAAACTACCAAATAAAGCAAAGAAGGGCACAGCCTCGTGGGACTATGGAAAGGAGACCCTGATCAAGAGGCAACAGAAGCAAAGCTCTTAAAGTGGCCCCACACCTACAAGCACGCTGCTGCCAGTCCACGCCATGCCCAATTCCCCAAATACACCTGTTCCCTGGCCCCGCTGACTCAGTGACACTTGCCATTCCCTTTCACTGGGAGGCCCTCTGCCCCGCTCATTGCATGGCTGATTCCTACTCACTGCTTGTGAGTGGCCTCAGCTTTGACGCCACTTCTTCCAAGAAGATTTCCCTGATTATCTGCAGTCTGGGAACCTCCTGTTTACTTCCTAGGAACACCCCACATTTCCCCCATCCAGGTGCTTACCAGATGCATGATAATTGCTATATATTCGTGAGTGTCGCAAGAGCATGACTCCTCCGAGACCATGCCTGGGACATAGTAGGTACTCTGATTGGCTTCTGAATGAACGAAAATTAAAGACATGCCTTAAGTCCCTGAGGAGGCCCATTAGACCACAGGGCTACACTTTCTTGGCAATTCATCTAGCCTCAAAAGCCCATAGCAATAAAGGCTGCTTTTGAGAGAGCCGAGAAGGAGGGAGGGGCTCATGCAAACAACTAAGTACCTACCACCTGCATGGGGACACAGGGATGAAACAGAAAAGGTCTTTTCACTGGAGAAACTCAGTCTAATGAGGAAGACTATTAGGCTTACAATAGCAAGGACAGATTGCTTCAGCATAAAGCTGGAATGGGGACAAATGTGAAAACCAAACTGGCTGAGTGATGCCTTTGCTTACATACTAATGTTATTGCTCAGAACGACCCACGAGACAAAGGTTTCAGGAGAAAATGTTCATGAGAACTTTGGTAGCTACATTTGTAGGTAATTGATAGTCAACAAAATTCTTTTATATGTATCATTTTATTTCATCTTATTCATGTAGCAAATATTTGAGGGTGCTTATCTGTACTACAGTTAACATCTAGTGTTACGAAGGCTGGGGGAATTACAAAGTGACTGTCTTCAAGGAGCTTGGAATCAAGTTGGGGAGATACAGAAAACCTGAATTTAAGGCAGAGAGATGAAAGCCAGGTAAGTCAGGGTTGTTTGGGTTGTAAAAGACTCACTCTGGCTTAACTAACAAAGGAAATGCTTTTCTCACATAATTTAAATGTTACCAGAAAGGGGTCTTTGATTCAAATGCCTCTGACAAAAGTGCCCAGGAATATCTCTAAAGCCCAGGTTTAGCTTCATCCAGCAGCTTGAATAATGTCCACCAGCCACTTGTCTAATCTCTTGGCTTTGCCGACATCACTCTCAGGCTCCACATGGCAGCCACTCACAGCTTCAGGTCCAGAGATTCCAAGGCCCAAACTGACCTGAAAATACAGCTTCTCTTCTCCGACAGGTTTTAACAAAAGACCAGGGCCTAATTATCCTTGGCCTGGGTGATGATCATGAGCCAACCAATGAGCCATAGGAATGGAATTAGAGGATTGTAACCCTAGGCCATGTACCGAAACCTTGCCCAGCTCCAAAGCTGGTATGGGGTCAGGCCCACCCAAACTGCATGGGCTGTGTAGCAAAGCGTCATTAAAAACAATCTGGTAATTGGCCAGGTACAGTGGTTCATGCCTGTAATCCCAGTGCTTTGGGAGGCCAAGGCAGGAGGATCTCTTGAGCCCAGGAGTTTGAGAGTAGACCGGGCAACATAGCAAGACCTTGTCTCTACAAAATACATTTTTTTAAGTAGTCAGGTGTGTGGTGGCATGCACCTATAGTCCCAGCTATTCAGGAGGTGGAGGTGGGAGGATCGCTTGAGCCCAGTAGTTTGAGGTTACAGTGAGCTATAATCATGCTACTGCACTCCAGTCTGGGAGACAGAACTATTAGGTTGGTGCAAAAGCAATTGTGGTTTTTGCAAATAATTTTAATTGCCAAAACTGCAATTACTTTTGCATCAACCAAATAGAACTTGTCTCAAAAAAAAAAAAAAGAAAGAGAAAAAAAAAAACCGATAAAATGCTTGACACTTAGTCCTCACGCTAGCTTTGTGTTTCCACTCATTTTACAAGTAAGGAAAATGATACCAGTAAGAGCAAGCACAGGACTAAAGCCTGGTCTTCTGACTCAGTCCTATGCTCCTCCCATCAGTGCTTGCCTGATAATTATTAGCACTTAATTATAATAGCAATTAATTATTAATAGGGGACGTGCTTAGGGCACTGCTGGAATTTGGAGTGGGACAATTCTTCGTTGTGTGGGATTGTCCCAAGCATTACAAACATTTCATTACATTCATGGCTCTAATACCGGTGACACTTGCTTCCCAGCATTGTAACAACCAAAATGCTCACACACACTTTCAAAGGTCCCCTTAGGGAGACAGCACCTGCCCTATTTGAGAAAAACTGTGTATTACCACAAGTGAACCCTGGTATCAAGAGGTTCATACTTCTTGGAGTTTAAACGTAAGCTCTAACCTCTTGCTTTCGAGTTAGTCTGAGCTTTTGATTGAACATACCTTGGAGATCATCCGGCCCAAGCCCCTGGGCCGGTAGTTCTGGCTTGGAGGAGAAGGGGTAAGCGAGGGTGAGAGGGAAGAAGATGGGCTGGGAATGCATCCCTGAAAGGTGAGTATGGAGGGTTGCAGATGGGAGGTTTCAGCTTCCCATTAGTGCTCCTCTTGTTCAGAAGTGAAATCATAGAATTAATGCATTTTGTATAGTCAGGATTCAAACAGTTTCTTAGGGAAGAGGGTATTTGTCCTCCCTTACTTGAGTAAGATAAGAAATCACAGAATTGTGGGGAAGTAGAATGGTCAATTCTGAACAATACTCATGAACAGAGATGTTGCCAAACTGACCTGCACTCTGGTGAAGCAAAAAGGGTAAGTGGGAATTTAAAATCAGATCATCACATGAAGAACATTCCATGGAACAGGCAAACCTATGCCTGGCAAAATATTCAAAGTCATTCAACATCACCTAGGAGTAGACTTGGAATTACTCTACATATCCCAAGTGGACAAACCAGTTCTAATAGGACCTGAAAACAGCTGGCCCATGAGAGATATCTAATAATAGAATAAGCCATCTGAGAAGACAGTGAGTTCCCCACTGCTGGAGGCATCCAAGCGCACGCTGAGATGTTGAAGTGGGTTTAAGCTTAGTCTCTCAAACATTCTGAAGCAACACAAAATGGATGAAGTTTAAGTGCTCCACACATTGCTAACAGACCATGTCAAAGGCGCGGGAACCAGAGCAACTGCATCTTGAATAGGAGCTGGGCAAAATGAGGCTGAAACCTATTGGGCTGCATTCCTAGATGATTAAGGCATTGTAAGCCACAGGATGAGATAGGAGGTCAGCATGAGATACAGGTCGTAAAGACCTTGCTGATAAAACAGGTTGCAGTAAAGGAGCCAGCCAAAATCCACCCAAACCAAGATGGCGACAAGAGGACGATGAGAGTGACCTTTGATTGTCCTCACTGCTATACTCTCACCAGCACCATGACAGTTTACAGATGCCATGGCAATGTCAGGAAGTAACCCTATATGGTCTAAAATGGGGAGGCATGAATAATCCACCCCTTGTTTAGCATATCATCAAGAAATAGCCATAAAAATGGGCAACCA